AGAAGGGCGAAGGGTGGGACGACGTCATCGCCACTATTATCCATAGCTGTCTGTCCGGCTCTACGTAAGTCGCGAACGGCAAGACGCCTGGGAGGGAATTGTGGAAGCATACTTGAACGGCGACACGGTACGACCGGTGGGTGAGCGGAGGGTTTTGGTGGCGGGATGTTGTCGGAAGTTAAAGCGAAACCGTGTTTGTGTGCCGCAGCAGATCCAGTTTCTTGGGAAGTAGTAGAAAAGGTGGAAATTCCGTCAGTCGTGAGAAGCCCATCAAACCAGATACGCGGATTTGGGGCAATGGGTCGGTTAGTAGATAGACGGGTTTTCGGGGAAGTTGAGTTTATAGGAGGTCCATCGTCGCTGGCCTCCGTCTGTGATTGGGTGAAAGAGGCGCTAACTTGTAGGGACCTTGTGGAAAAGGTTCTTTTTGGATTTGACGAGCTATTTGCTATGGTCGGTCCAAGTTGCTTTAGTAGAGAAGGCCGCGTGCTTGAAACCGAAGAACTAGAGATTGTGTCCTGAGCCCTCGCCCTCATAAATATTTCCAAAAGCGTTCCCGAGTAACGATGCATTGCTTTGTTGCAAATTGGTGACCGGTGAGATCTTGACCGCAAAATGTTATGCACTGCGGCCTTTTCTAGTGGTTGCTCTTTCCAATCAGATATCAGGGATGCATGTGCGTTACGTTTGTTATCGGATGTTTTATTAGTGGCCTGCTTTGTAGCCAGAGAAGCAGTCCTCTTTAGCTGGCCCCATGTTGTCATCCCGTTTCCCGCAGCCATTTTGATTGCACGCCACGCTAGTGTAGATTGGGGCAGTGTAACAGTGCCGTTCGCTTCTCTATTGTTAGAACACTCGATAGCTTCGACGTCATCCATGACTGACACTTGTTTACGGCTATTGAGGGACTCCCGGCTGCTGCGGACACGGGCCCATGTGGTAGTTCCGACTGTAGTCGCAGTGGTGGTATCAGGAGCAGAGTTGTCTTGAGTCATAGTGTACATGCTGTCAGTTGTGGCGACGCCGACGGAACGAATCTGTTTGGCTGGATTAGGGTTCTCCG